CACCCGCTCTGATTTACTCTCTCTCACCTACTACATGAACCGCAGGCTCCTCCCGCCCTCCAGCGTCACGGATTCAAACAGAGGCAAGAAGGAGGAGAGTCGGTGTTTCTCAGTCAGAGCTGAGGCACCGACAGGAGCGCGCGCGGAGGAGGAGACACACACACACACACACACGCATTTAGAAGCTGCTGGATCCTTCACTGGGCTTTTTATCCACTTTGCATGAACATCCCGAGGATCTAAAGATGTGGACTGAAGTCGGGAAGCTTGTGCTTTTCCATTTGCTGCTCACGGAGCTCCACTGCGCTAAAGGTAAGACAACCGGAGCGGGGGTTCGCTTGTGTTTCGCCGCGGAAGCGTCTCCCCGGTGCGGTCCGACGACTCGTGTAGGTGCCTGGTCGCACCGGGGGGGAGCCGCTTATGTCCGGGTTGGTGGGGGATGTCACCGCGGAGAGAAGGCGACAACATGCGGAAGAAACCAATGCTTACCTAAAACCAACACGTGTCAGAAGCCAGTAGACTGATGCGTAAAAAGGGCTTGTTTGTGGTGATGTGGACGCAAAGTGGAGGCTGCTACATCATCATCATCATTAGCTGCAGTTTAAACAACCATTAAACTGATCTTTATGTGCCAACAGGACCCGGACAGCCATGCTGACAGCCACCAAGTGTCCACTGATCATAATCATCAGGATAAAATACAAGAGTTGAAGTCATTTTTTAACACATTTGGATTTGAGAAAAAAACACCTGGAGGGACCATTGTAAGAGCAGCAGTAGTGTTTAAACACCCAATTCTAAGAAGAGCTGTTTGCAAACATCAGTGTCCTGGTCAGATTGAGATCTTTATCCATAGAAACCTGGAGATTGATGCAATATTTAACCTCTAAACCTGCAGAATTAAAGAACCCTCCAGTGTACACAGTTCGTGGTCAGGTCATGTTTTGCATAATAGTTCTTATAGCACCTCTCGCCAATGCTGATTAGTTGTTCTGTTCTGTTCTGCAGGAACTCCGGAGTTGGAGTGTGAAACCGGCCAGTTTCAGTGCAAGAACGGACGGTGCATCCCAACCCTGTGGAGATGTGACGATGACGACGATTGTTCGGACAACAGCGACGAGGAGAACTGTCGTAAGTGACCTCTACTCTCTGACACTGGCAGATAAACGAAGCAGTGCCGTTGCTCGCTTCCCTGTGGACCTCTGGAACTCACATCATGCACGAAACGAACAGGAGTCTTAGATGAGGACAAGGAATCCCAAACGTGCATTTGTTGCCAGAGATTTTTGCGTTCTGCTGTTGGATAGGAGCTGGTTCATAACTGGATTTATCCTGTGTGGTAACTTTTGAATGAGTTATGTTAGACTGAGAATAAGCTCCTTATCGTTTTGCTCGGGGGCCCACCTGGAAATCTCATTTTCAGTTGTTAGTCTGCAGTTGTCAGCGTGAACTGCTGATCCTGGACCACTGGTCAGGTCACATGGCGTCAGGAATTTTACTCATTTCTTACTAATTTCCCTTCAGCAGCAAACCTGACGCAAGTAGAGCTGCTGCCGTTGCAATGCTATTATCTATCATTGTTACCATTACATCCTTTCACTTACATTGCAGAGAGACAGCTCTGTTTGCTATACTGTGTCGTAATGCTCTGGATATACAACATTTATGAATTATGTCATATCTGCTATATGAAACTGCAGTTTGACGTGTTATGGGATCTCACTGCTGTTAAATTCAGCGTGCGTTAATGCAAATACTCTTGACTGTTCGATATGACTGTGTGCAAGTTGTGTGCTTTTCTCACTGTCGAGGGCGTCCCTGCTTCAGTGGGCACCTGGAGTTTAAAACACAGAATGACATCCACAATAGCAGGCCATCATTATTGTATTATGCCCCTTAAGGATGAGTGACAAAAAACCAGTCATGTGCGATTCTGGTTGAACTGCCCCCGACTCCGTTCCATTCAGGAAACTGCACCCAGCCGAGTAATTGTCGCTTATAAATTTGTCATGGTACTAATTGCTTGAATGGATACATTAGTGGCCAATTGATTCATCGCTCCTCATCGCGGAAACCCATGATTCTCTCATCTCACACGCTCGCCGCGGTGCTGGCCGCTCATATCTCGGGAGTTGCCTGCACGGATGTCGTGACATTTACAAGCGCGTCTCATTGACCGGAGAAACTGATTGGTGTTATTGAACATTTAGCGGCCAGCGCTTGATGGAAGTGGAATTAGATTTTAATGAGCTCCCCTTCACTCTTGCAGGTATGGTTTGCTCTGTTGTTTGGTAAAGGCGTTGCTCAAAGAGAATATGAGAATGGTACTTGAGCAGGTGATAGACTCTTCTTGTGAAATGTGCTCTCCACTCTTTGAGCTACACATCCTGCAAGCTTCAGATGTGCTTTTGCTTTCCTCCCAATCTCTTCCCTTCTCACTCTCTACCTTTATGTACTTTCTCCCTGTTGATGTGCTTTAGGCTACATTCAAACCAATATTTTGTTCTAAAATGCACTTTTGCTAAGTTTTTTTACACCCGAAAACCAAAAAGTTTTAAGTTTTAAAACTCCAGTCTGGATGTGCAGAATGTTAGACACTTGGAAGCATTGACGCAGACACTGATTCTTATCAGTTTCAACATTTACTTCCCTGATCCACCATGCTCCTATCACTTGACCCTTTTCTGGAAGAAAACAAACTGCAAACTGCATCAGCCTCGACTACCGGTGTGTAATTCAAAACTTCTCAGTGTGGACATAACCCTTCTCTTCCCTTGCTCCCACTCTGCGGTCGTCGTAACCGCTCTGTACACTCTTTTCTTTAAGAGTTTCAGTTCTTAGCATGTGTTGTACATCCTTCTGTCTTACTTCCTCTGCATTGTCACAGCCACTAAGGGGCTTCCCCCCTTCATTTTTAAATCTCCCCGTGGGTACCTTGGCAGTGCGAATGCCAAAGAGGCAATGCCCACTTGTCTTACGCCCACAAAGAGCATCAGCTGACAGGTTGGTTGGAGATAAATCCAACAGCGTGACTCTGGTTGCCGGAGCGATGCTCAGTGACGGGCGTCGTGCCAGCCCTTCGAGCAGATGCCAGCACTACCTCTGTGCCCCCGCCCCAAAAACCCAATATCATCAGCAAAGCTCAGAGGAGAGAGGGAGGAGGCTGAGGAGGAGAAGGAGGAGGAGAGTAGAATGGACAGATTTGACTGAGGGCAACAGGGGAGCGGAGAGCAGAGATCATTAAAATAGGAGCAAAATAATTTGGAAGAATTGGAACAGCAGGGGGGCAAAGGGAGAGGGAAGAGCAGCTCTCGCATAATTATGAGGGTAAATGGTGAGGTTAGTCTGCAAATACAAGTTTCACTGAGATTCTCTGACCTTCTCTTGGGCGGAATTTCTGACTTTCAAAAGAAAACTGCGTCACGAATAAACTAAATAAATGAGAAACTGTCAAATAATTTGGGTTTATTTACTTTGACAATGATACTAATACAGTTCAACTAGCATATAGGAGCTAATGTATCTTTTGTTTGTGTTGGATCACTTGTGATGTTTGTACTAATTAGATTTAAAATGTGACCAGTTATAAACCGTGGACTTCTAATTAGTGCTGGTTGTTTTAACTTTTCTTAGTTCAATCAGGTTTCTTTATTGAGCTTGTTGCTGGTTTTGTCCAACTCAACTCCTTACAATTGTCCCATTGTGCTTAATTTAATACCCTCAACACCTAACTTAAATTCTTGAGGAGTTTGTGGGGGATTTCAAGTATGCACCGGAAAAGTAGAGCTGAAAACGACTGCATCATTGAGTCTTGTTGGCATTTTGACCCAAGTCATCCCTCTGCAGCGTGTGTGTGTGTGTGTGTGGGGTCAACAATGTGCACGTTTATACATCTGGAATGATTCGATTAGACGATACACATCCCGGCCAAGTATAACTGCTTGCATATTTGTGTGTCTGTGTGCGAGTGTGAGCTTCAGTATCTGTAGCGTCACTCAGTCATCCCCTCACCCACCTCTCACACATGCAGATGTCTCACAGCAGAGATTACCTCTATAATATTCCTCCTGTAGCAGCTCTATTMAAATAAGTCTTGCTAGATTGGGTTGTTATTTGTGCCTTGTCTCATTTCTTTCATCCTCTCTTCTTCCTCATCCTGCTCCTCTCCTCCCCTCTCCTCTTCTTCATTTTCATCGTGCCTCTTGGTAGATTCCGGTCTTGTTGCCCTGGGAGACGGTAAAGTGGTGGTGGTGGGGTTTTTGTGCATGTGTGCGCGCCGTCTTTGTAGCGAACACAACAGTCATGCACATGTGTATGTGTACAAATGGAAACTCTCCACCTCTGCACAACTCTGTATGACCTATATTTCAGTTGTGGAATATACAGAAAAAGGCCTTATCATTTTTACAGCGGATTTAAGTGGATTTAAACATGCCTAATCCAAAGTGCCACTGTAAAATCATCTCATATCTGGATCTCATGTTGGCTTTCAGTGGTTCTCCCTCCCTCACATCACTCCACAGTGGTCCCACCCAAACGGCCTTGGTCAAACTGCAGCATGAAAACACTTATCTATCAGAATTTCTTCGGGGTTTAATCGATTTTTTTGGTCGATATGTCCTCATCCGACCAAATTCTCCTTGGTCTGTCAATTGCTGGTGCTACTTCCATTAAGAAAACCACTCTACACCAATAGCCTTCCAGGATTAATCCATTATCTGGGGGGGGGACTACCAGTGAAAATAAGGGGTGATGGTTGATTTTAAAGCACAACTTTGACCTCGTCCAGTCTAATGGAGGCAGCTGGGTCTAACTTATTTAGTCCATTTCAAACTACTTGATAGATTGTCTCACACAAAACAAATGAAAGTTTAATTTTTGTCATTCCTATCACAGCTCAACAACCAACATTGGCCTACATTGTCTGTTTTAGCAGTTAGTGGCCGATTTAGTGAATCTAGAAATAACAGATTTTATTTATCACGACCAATCAGTTGTTTGAACGACATCGGTTGATAAGCGGAGCAGAAGCTACTCAATTAACGAGTTCATCAATGCAATAGTTTTTCAAGTTAAGTCATTCATCTTGTAAAACCTTTTCTAAAAAGAGAGGATTTTCTTCATTCATTTCTTTGGTGTAATTTCTGGATGGAATATCTTTACTTCATTGACTGGATAAAACAAGTGATATAAAGATATCATCTTGGATTCTGTGAAATTATGACCATATCTTGTACCCTGGGTCTCGCCCCAATGTCGGCTGGGATTGGCTGAAACGTGTTTAGTCAAAGGATTGGAACTAAATCCTAAACCTTTTATGAACCGAGAAAACCATGTGTTTCACAACAGTAACAGACCAGGGGATAGAAAGAGAATATATAAGGGTGGGAAGAGAGTTGTGCTTGTGTGTGTG